AAAAAAATGCAACTGGTCTTGTAGCTAAAGCAGGGTTGAAGGGTTGCAAGCCAGCATCAACACCTTTGTCCAGCTCAAAAAAATTGTCCTTGTCAGAGGGAGAACTCTTGAACCAAGAGGATAGCACCAAGTATAGAAGTATGGTTGGTGCATTACAATATTTAACCTTGACTAGGCCTGATATTTCCTTTGCTGTGAACAAAGTGTGTCAGTTTCTTCATGCACCCACTACAGTACACTTGACAGCTACAAAACGCATACTTAGATATGTTAAAAAATACTTTGAGCATTGGACTAACTTTCAGCAAGTCACCAGCAACTCTTGTCAGTGCATTCTCTGACTCTGATTGGGCAGGCTGTCTAGATGACATACGATCAACAGGTGGTTTTGCAGTGTTATTTGGTCCAAATCTGATTTCTTGGTGTGCTAAGAAGCAAGCTACTGTGTCCAGATCTAGCACAGAAGAAGAATATAAGGCACTAGCGAATGCTACTACTGAAATCATTTGGGTTCTGTCTCTACTAAAAGAGCTTGGAATAAGCTGTAAACAAGCTCCATGTTTATGGTGTAATAATCTTGGTGCTACATACCTTTCTACTAATCCAGTTTTTCATGCAAGAACCAAACATATCGAAATAGACTTTCACTTTGTCAGAGAAAGAGTTGCTGCCAAAAAATTGGACATTCGTTTTATTCATTCCCAAGATCAAGTTGCTGATGGGTTTACCAAGGCCTTGCCAACCAGAAGTTTTGAGGAATTTAAATGTAATCTCAACTTGTCCAAGTTATGATTATGAGAGGGTGTTAAACATGTCATACTAGGCCCATAGGGCGCACGGGCCTAAACCAGGTCGGGCTAGATAGATAGAGCTATATTGTTGTAACTACTTGATCTCTATCTTATCTCTCTATCTTCCTTGTTTCCCAAGATTTAATCTCAACAACTTGTATGCTTATCAGAGAGATGCCCCTGCCTATATTAACACGCACCCGTTGCCTCCAACGAGGTACGACATTCTCCGCTCGTTTACATATCAGAACAAACTAAACCGCGAAGGACGATTTCCAATTCTTGCTTCCACGTTGCAGTTTTGCCACGAAGCTTCAGCATACGATAGTTTCAAAGTATCTCGGTGTCAGCCAGTTGCACTACTCTTCCTCCTCAAATAAGCATAAGTATTGCCCGCGACGAGAGGACATGGGCTTCGTTCCTGTAACAACACTCAAGCTGCATGCTATGCCTGAAAGGGGACTGGGAACAGAGAAGGAGATAGGGGAATTCAGATTTTTGCCTTTTCCTTAACTGACGACACCCACACCACACGCGCCTCTTATCCAGGCCACACCACACCAATGCCCAGCAACGACACGCACACGGACAGGCTGCGCCAACAAACACAAACGCTCTCACTCACATGTCAGGCTACCACCTGTGCACACGGACATGGGCTTCAGAGCCAAGGGACATTTTGCAAATTTGTAGGGCAAATAAAAACTCCTACTGACAGCTACGTGTCGAGAAAATGGATCAAACCAAGAGATATGTGCGAGCACTGATGCACACTGCACATATAGAGAACATCTGTAGGGAAAGCGACGACGGTCACAGCATGCTGCATCTATATTTCAGGCATCACTCATCACATGCCATGGTGATGATGGGAGTTTTGTACATTGATCGCTCACATTAGGGTTACATTATAGGACAGCATCATTTACCGAATCTGCAAGGAGATTTACTAGGGCACACGTTCATACAGATTTTGCTTCACATCTTGGATTTTCCTGACGCTGTCGCCAAAAATTGCTAGTATCTGAATTCTGGCACGAGTTCAAAGCAAGATAAATTTTATTATGCCAAAGAAGGTACCCATCAATTAGTGAGCATGCCAAATGAGTAGTTATGTGCTAACTCTCGTTTTCTTAAGCATGAAACCGTGTTGTAGCTGGCGTCATCCAGCGCCTTATTCCTGACGACAGGCATGCAATCAGTATCTAGTCTGATAACAAATTTTCTTGACGATTACAGATAAAGGGATCTTGTCAAGATGATGAAAGCAGTTTGCCATCGTCTCAGATTAAGTAGTGCCATCAAAGCAATTTTGGTATTGATATATGAAGCAGAACAGATGTTTAGCTATATTAAGTGTTGTGCTGAGTTGATTTGGCCGTAGTTTGGGGATAAAATAAGCAGAGTGGAGCGTACCTTCCAAATGGACCAATCACATTGAGCGCTTGGAGGAAATATATTTATTGAAAGGGCCGTTGATCGGAGAAATGAGAGATGTGATTAAAAGATTTTCATGACCGAGCTCTGCTTGTAGGTTGGGTTGTCCTGCTTCACCGAGATACTGGTTGTATCCTCTTCTCAGGAAGAACCAGCACCATACTTCTGGCTGTCCTACTTAAGAAAATTAGCAGATAAGTAACGAAATTGGGGTTTCGCCCATGGTAGAGAAACAGTCAAGCATAATAGATTATGAGAGAGGTATATGCAAGAGGAAAGTACAAGGTTGAGTTTTGTCTCGATCAATTTTTTACCTGAAACACTCAGTAATTCATGGTGCTCTGTGGAGTTGCAGTATTGGTCATGCTCGCGAAACAAGCCTTCGTGGAATCCACATAACAACACTAAACCAACATCTAGAGCTTTGATGTATTCCAGCTTTCCCAACCTGAAATGATTGACAAATTGGCATTACAATCTATGGTAAACCACGATTGCAAGAGATATGCGCGTCCGCTGATAGATGCACATATAACAGATTAATAGTAGGCACTAGCAGGAAGTACTAGAGAATATGTCATTGGATTGGAAGTTTTACCTTTTTATGCTAATTTTAGTGATTGCCGAGACAATCGCAGAGCGGTAAGCAACGAGATATACTTGTCCAAATAAGGCAGATCCTTCTTAGAAACTTCTTTCCGCTGGATTCTACTTCTGGTGCTCCAGTTCTGATTTCTGATTCTGCTTCTGGTACTCGAATTCTGAATTCTGATTCTGCTCGAACAGGGACCAAGTGGAAATACTCCCCACCTTCTCTGCATCGTCTTTCCAACTCAGGGCAGCCATATATGCTTATCTCGTCAAGGGCTGGCAGCCGCTGAAGGAGACCATTTGGTAATTCCTCTATCCCTGGAGAACCACCGATTGTCAACTGCCGAAGAGAAGTGAGCCCATCCATCCCATCAGGTAACGCTTTCAGGCCAGTGCAGTTATTCACCAGTAGCTCCCTCAGCTCTGTCAGATGTCCAAGGTTCCAAGGAAGCGCCACCAAACATTCGAAACCTTGAATCCACAAAATTTCAAGGGATGTAGGCAAACTTGGAAAATGCTCCATCTGTGGCAACGGAAGGTTCTCCTCGGGTGATGAATCATCCCTCTTCAGGAATGAATTTCTTGCAGAAGTGAGTGCTTCTGTTGCCCTCAGGACTTTGAGAACAGGGCTCACTGCAAAACTTGCAAGCTTAGGGCAGTCATCGATTATTAGCTCTTCAAGCACCGGGAATGTCACTAAGCTATCGATAGACACTCCAGCACTGTTTTCAGCCCATCTCTCTAGACTAGGTAGCTCTTTTAAGATCATCTTCTTCAACTTCGGGAAAATCTGTAGAGGGGTACTGTGTCCTCCGCCTTCTATGCAAAGGTTATCACATAATGTCTTCAGTTTACCCATGTTTTCTAAGGATAAGTACTCCAGTGAGGGTGATAACCATACTACAGGTATATTCTTACACCTTGTCCAGTTGGAAATCGTGAGTTTTCTTAAGCACTGAAACATCCGAGGGTTTCTCATCCATTGTGGTATTTCTAGGCCACCATATCCATATAATTCTGAGAATTGGGTCTTGCTATGAGGCTTTAGACACTGGAACACTTCCTCTTCATTACATGCCTCATTTTCAGGCTCGTCATATTTTGTAAGGCCCCAAGAGAACAACAACTCACTCGGATTTTGCTTCTGATGGAGATTGGCATCTTTTGCATGCATTACACTCTTTATTTTTCTCAAGTTGTACAGTTCCAACCTGTTGCAAAGCTGTTGCAAGTCCTTGAGCTCCTCAATACCACAACCATCTCTAGTATCCACAACAAATGTTGTTAGTGTGCGGAGGTTGCTCAGCTCACCAATGTTTCGAGGCATGCGCTCCAACTCATCGCATCCAAAAAGATAAAGATGTCTGAGCTTTCTCAGGCTCAAAACCATGTTTTCTGGTAACTGTCGTAGTTCATGGCAATCATTGAGCCTCAGTGTTTGCAGGTTATACAATAGACATATTGAATCTAGCAATGTAGCATTGGCTGTACAATCAGAGAGGTCAAGATACCGTAAAGTTTTCCATTTACGACCTTAATATTGGCGTAAGATCTCTCCCAATGCAATGCTCGTAATGATACTTGGGGCAGACGGTTAAAATCTATGTATGCTCCTGAAGGAGATAACAAAGTGCGGACAGATGTTTTGCCATCAAACAACCCAGATATCTTTTTGAAATCAACATCCTCTAACATCATGTGACGGACATTCTTTACCAATGGTAGTGCAGTCAATTCTTCTATGGTGGCACATTCATTGCTAACATCTCTGGCTAAGTCATGCATTAAATCATGCATTTTACACACTGTTGTCTCATATTCAGAGCTACCAACATAGGCACTAGATGTGACTACAACTTTTGTATCTTGCAGGAAGGACCTCCAAACCAATTCACTGAACATGCATTCTCCTTTTTGTGTTAAATCCGTTGTTCCCTCTTGTTGAATAAAGCCATTTGCCATCCACAGCTGGATCAACATATCCTTCTGCATCTCATAATCTTTCTGGAAAAGTGCACATAATGCAAAACATTGCTTCATTTCAGACGACAGGTGTTTGTAGCTTAACTTCAGTATTGGCATGACCTCATTATCACCGATGTTACTTCTTTCGATGCTCCCCCATTCCTCCACTTGTTGCTTTGAACTCAGCAATCCACCGATTGTGTTCAGAGCAAGTGGCAACCCCCCACATTTATTGACAATACGTCTTCCAACGGTGGCCAACTCTGCTTGCTCCACTATATCACTGCTAAATGCTTTCTTCGAGAACAATTCCCATGAATCTTCTTCACGTAGACATGCTAACTTAAGGGGCTGAATGGTGCACATTATAGTGGCCACTTGCTCGCTTCGACATGTCACAACTATAACACTTCCTATTCCACCGATGGAGCATAACAGTGGCTTCAAATTATCCTCCCATATCGTCTTCTCTTCATTCCAGACATCATCAAGAACAAGAAAAAATCTTTTCCGGCCAATGACTTCATCAAGTTTCTTCTGCAATAGCTCAATGCTGTCAGGCGGGTTGTATCTTTCATTTGTAGCCAATTCAATGATGGATTTCACAATAGCAATTACATCAAAATTTTCTGAAACGCAGTGCCACATCTTCAACTGAAAATGTTGTTGGACCTCTTTATCATTGTACACCATCTTAGCAAGTGCTGTCTTACCAAGACCTCCCATACCAAAGATGGGCAGCACCTGCACCTTCCGCTGATCTTGCTGGTCTAGTAGCAACTTCACCACCCCCTCTTTGTCATCATCTCTTCCAAAGACGTCGGTAGACTTGTCCAGTTTGGAGTGTGTCTGCCGCCAAGGAAGTTGCGGCCCCTCACGAGTGACAGAATCCACAAGCCCAAACCTGTTCATCTCCTTAACCAGCTCCTTGATCTTATTGAGGACGGCCTTGAGCTTCCTGCTCATGGCAAAACGGAAGAGCAGTGGGCTGCGGCATGTGACGTAGCCGAGTACCTTGCGGAAGGTGGAGTCGCCAATCTGGGCCTTGCGGCGCAGCGCCTCATACTCGAAGTCGTCAAGGACATCTTCTGCCTCGTAGGCGACGTCCTTGAGCTTCTCCATCCAGCTCTTGAGGTAGCGATTGCTCTGGCTCCTTTCCTCTGCGTTGGCCAGCTTGCACTCGACGGCTAGCAAGTGGCGCTCCAGCGTTTCACGGTCGTCGTCAAGGCCACACATGCGCGTCACGGTCTGAGCAAGCGCGCCTGCTGCCTTGCCTACACATATGCGCATTATTGCCTACACTTATGCGGCCTTGCCTACACTTATGCGCATTTCAGACCGTCGTCAAGGCCACACATGCGCGTCACGGACAATAATGCGCCGGATGGAAAACACGGACAATAATGCGAGTCCGCCGGCGCCAATTTCGGCCCGAGCCGGCGAAAAATGGGCCCCTGGGGGCGCGACCGGGCCGATTTTTTCGCGCCGGCGGCCGAAAAATCGCCTGGGGGGCCTTGTTGGGGGCGCGGCTGGAGATGCTCTTATGCACAGTAGGTTGAGATCCTGGAATCCAAACATGCCAACCCGAATAAATAAATTCAGAAAAAGGAGATGGAAAAAACAACTTAGAAGCCCAAGAAAGTGCATCTGAATTATGATGGAGCTGGATTTTCAAGGCACCAGCCACCAAGTACTAGTTCAGACGTTTATGCTTCATAATATTCATAACAAGATCTGAAGACAAACTGTTATTAGATCGAAGTAAATAGTGAAAGATCATGCTTCCCAGAGTTTCAAAGATCATGCACTGTTCCTTCTCAAATAAGCACAAATTTTGCCCGCGAGGACATTGGCTTCGTTCTTGTAACAACACTCAAGCTGCGTGAAGAGGAAGAAGAAAGGGGACTGGGAACAGAGGAGACGGGGGAATTCAGACTTTGCATTTTCCTTAACTGATGAAACACTTGACAGGTCAATGCCCAACGACACACACACGGACAGCCAGTGCCAACACACAAACGCTCTCACTCACATGTCAGACTACCAGTACAGTGTCCTGTGCACACGGACATGGGCTTCGGAGCCAAGGGACATTTTGCAAAATTTCTAGGCAAATAAAAATACCTACTGACATCTACAGGTAGAGAAAATGGATCAAGACATATCTCTGCCTGAACTGACGACGCACACATGTAGAGAAAAACTCTAGGGAGAGCGAGGACGGTCACAGCATGATCTAGTTCCAGTTAGCACATCTACTTTCAGACAACAATCATGCCATGCCGTGCTGGAGTTCTGACTTAGCTTGACGAGCATTGCTTCCTTCATTTCATAGATGGTTCCTTCATTTTGTGGATGCTTTCAGATATTCCAACCTGCAGGTACATTGATTGCTTCAGACATATACATTGCACCTGAATATTATCAGCATATGATCAATCCGATTTCGTTTTGCATGGAGATTTACCATGGCACACATTCATACGGATTTGCTTCACAGCTTGGGTTTTTCCTCCGCTGACATCACAGTGGTATCTGAATTCTGGCAGGAGTCCAAAGCAAGATAAGTTTATTCCAAAGAAGTACACAAGAGGGTATCCATCAATTAGTGAACATGGCGAATGAGTAATTGTGTGCTTACTGTCGCATGCCTAAGAACGAAACGGCGTTGCAGCGGAGTGTCATCCCGCACCTGATTTCCTGACAGACACGAAATCAGTATCGAGTCTGAATGCCAGTTTTCCTGACGATTACAGAGAAACGAGAGGCGAATAAAGATGATGAAAGTATTTTGTCACCATATTTAATTAAATACTCATCAAAGCAATTTTGGTATTGATATATGGAGCAGAACAGAGGTTTAGCAAGATTGAGTACTGTGCTGAGTTGATTCGAGTACAGTTCACGGATTAAAATTAAACAGAGATGGAGGGTACCTTCCAAATGGACCAATCACCTTGAGCAGTTGGAGAATAGATATTTGTAATTAAAAGATTTAATTACAAGATGTAATTAAAAGATTTTTCATGACCGAGCTCTGCTCCTAGGTTGGGTCGATGTAAGCTGATCTCACGAACAAGGGGTCGCCTAATTTTGATGATTGTTGAGACGAGCACAGAGCAGTAAGCAACGAGATACACTTGTCCTAAAAAAGGCAGATACTTGTCCAAAAAATAGGCAAAGAGGGTCGCAACCAGACCGAAGATCAAACAATTTCTGAGTAAGCTGCTCCTACAAAACAAAACAAAAAGGTAATCAGTGGGGAGTTACTTATGTTACATGTATACTGAGGAAAGATGGTTAAACCAAAATAGAATTATGAAGGGACTTGTGGCATATGCACCTCAGTTATTGTCAGACTTCGAGTGAACACCACAGGGGAGGAGGAGCCTTTTTGCATACCTCTTTTCGCTGGATTCTGCTTCTGCTGCTCCAGTTCCGAATCCTTATTTTGCTTCTGATTCTGCTTCAATGTATTTATATGGGATATGGACCAAGTGGTTGAAATACTCCCCTCCTTCTCTCCATCGTCTTTGCAACTCGGGGCAGCCCACTATGCGTAGGGATTCAAGGGCTGGCAACCGCTCAAGGAGACCATTCGGGAATTTCTCTATCCCTGGACAATGAGTGATTGTCAATTTCCGAAGAGAAGTGAGGCCATCCATCCCATCAGGCAACTCTTTCAGCCTCCTGCAGCTATGCACCAGTAGCTCCCTCAGCTTTGCCAGATCTCCAAGGTTTGAAGGCAGCGCCACCAAACCTCCAAAGCACTGAATCCGCAAAATTTCAAGGGATGTAGGCAACCTTGGAATATCCTGTATCTCCATCTCCAGGTGATAATCCGATATGTTCAGGACTTTGAGAACGGGGCTCAGTGGAATACTTCGAAGCTTAGAGCACATGAGGATTTCTACCTCCTCGAGCACCGGGAATGTCACTCCCGCACTGTTCTCTGCCCATCCCTCTAGACTACGTAGATGTCCCAAAACTATCTTCTTCAACTTTGGAAAAAACTGTAGAGGGGTACTGCGTCCTCCACCTTCTATGCGAAGGTTATCACATAATGTCTTCAGTTGACCCATGTTGCGCAAGGATAAGTACTCCAGTGAGGGTGACAACCATACTGCAGGTATATTCTTACACCTTGTCCAGTTCAAAATTATGAGTTTTCGTAAGCAATAAAACATCTGTTGGTCGCTCATCCATTTTGGTATTTCTAGGCCACCATATCCATATAACTCCAAAATTTGCATCTCGCTATGAGGTTCTAGAGACTGGAGCACTTCCTTCTCGTTGCAAGCCTCATTTTCAGGATTGTCATATCTTCCAAGGCCCCAAGAGAACAATAACTCACTCAGTTTTTGCTTCTGATGGATATTGGCTTCTTTTGCATCCTTTACACTCTTAATTTTTCTCAAATTGTACAGTTCCAGCCTATTGGTAAGGTGTTGCAAGCCTTTGAGCTCCTCAATACCACAACCAGCTCTAGTATCCACAATAAATGTTGTTAGAGTGTGAAGGTTGTTCAGCTGACCAATGTTTCGAGGCATCCGCTCCAACTTATGACATCCAAAAAGATAAAGATGTATGAGCTTTCCCAGGCTTACCATCATGTCTACTGGTAACTGTTGTAGCTCAGAGCAATCATTGAGCCTCAATGTTTGCAGGTTATACAATAGACATATTGAATGTAACAATCTAGCATCAACGGTACAAGTGGAGAGGTCAAGATACCGTAAATGGTTTGCATTTTTGTCAATGAAACTGGTGCAAACACTCTGCAGTGCTCGTAATGATACATGGGGTAGCCATTTCAAATCCTCGTGTGTCCTTGAAGTATCTAACAAAGTGCGGAGAGATGTTTTTTCATCGAACACCTGACATTTATTTTCCAATTTAACCTTTGACAAGTGCAGGTGACGAGCATTTTTTACCAATGCTTTCTGTTCCATCAATTCTTCTATGGTGACACATTCATTGGTGACATCTCTGGCCAAATCATGCATCAAGTCATGCATTTTACAAACTATTGTCTCATATTCTATGCCACCATAATAGATACCATATTTGACTTTCACTTCTTGCAGGAAGGACCTCCAAAGCAATTCTTGAAAAATGAATTCTCCTTTCTTTGTTAAATCCATTGTTTCCTCTTCTTGAATAAAGCCATTTGCCATCCATAGTTGGATCAACATATCCTTACGCATCTCATAATCCTTGGGGAAAAGTGCACAGAATGCAAAGCATTGCTTCATTTCAGGCGACAGGTGTTTGTAGCTTAACTTCAGTATGGGCATGATCTCATTATCACCGATCTTACCCTTTTCGATCTCCTCCCATTGCTTTACTTGTTTCTTTGAACTCAGCAATCCACCGATTGTCTTCAGAGCAAGAGGCAACCCCCAACATTTTTTGACAATACGTCTTCCGATGGTGACTAACTTTGCTTGCTCTGCTACACCATTGCTAAATGCTTTCTTTCAAAACAATTCCCATGAATCTTCTCCACCCAGACATGCTAGCTTAAGAGGCTCAATGGTGTACATTATAGAGCTCGCTTCGACATGTCACAACTATAACACTTCCTGGCCCACCAATGGAACATAACAATGGCTTCAATATACCGTCCCATATCGTCCTCTCTTCATTCCATACATCATCAAGAACAAGTAAAAATCTTTTCCGGCCAATGACTTCATCAAGTTTCATCTGCAATAGTTCCATGCTGCCAGATAGGTACCAATTTCCTTTTCTAGCTAGTTGTTTTTCTTTCTCTGGCAAATCATTTATAGCCAATTCAATGATGGACTTCAAAAGATCAATAACATCAAAATTGTCTGACACGCAGTGCCACATCTTCAACTGAAAATGTTGCTGGACGCCTTGGTCATTGTACACCATCTTAACAAGTGCCGTCTTGCCAAGACCTCCCATGCCAAAGATGGGCAGCACCTGCACCTTCCGCTGATCTTGCTGGTCTAGCAGCAACTTCACTATCCCCTCCTTGTCAGCATCTCTTCCAAACATCTCGGCAGACTCATCCAGTTTGGAGTGTGTCTGTCGCCAAGGATGTAGTGGCTCCTGCTGATTGACAGAATTCTCAAGGCCAAACGTGTTCATCTCCACAACCAGCTCCTTGATCTTATTGAGGACTCCCTTCAACTTCCGGCTCATGGCAAAACGGAAGAGCAGCGGGCTATGGAGCGTGATGTAGCCGAGTACCTTGCGGGAAGTGGACTCACCGATCTGGGCTTTGCGGCGCAGCCCCTCGTACTCAAAGTCGTCAAGGACGTCATCGGCCTTGTAGGCGGCGGCCTTGAGCTTCACCATCCAGCTCTTGATGTAGCCGTTTGTCTGGCTCCTTTCCTCCACGTTGACCAGCTTGCACTCGATGGCAAGGAGATGGCGCTCCAGCGTTTCTCGGTCATCGTCGAGGCCGCACATGCGGGTCACAGTCTGGACCAGCGTGCCAATGGCCTCGCCAGCCACACCGCGCACCAAAGGGAGAAGCAGTGATTCTGCCATGGCCTTGCAGATCGGAGGAAGAAGAAGCTGCAGCATGTGAAAGAAGGGAAGGGAGATTAAGCATGGACCGATGAGGAACAGCCGAAGAATTGAGGAACAACACGATGAAGTACAGAGAACACCCAAGAATTGAGGGGAGCACGTACCGTTGCAACACCAAACGTCGAGCAGATCCAAATTGGTGAAAGGGCTCTCTCGCCAAGGCTCCTATGGGATGCTGAGGTTGGTGAGATGAGGACGAAAGCAAGTGGAGAGAACCTTATGCAAGAGTTGGGTCAACCCTACTCGGCACACCCGGCTCTTCAGGAAGAGGCGGGGCAACTCAAACGGTTCCGCAGAATTTCTTCTGAACCAATTCAACGCAATGCGCATACGCATATTGCTTGCTTCACATGTTATACGACTACGCCTACGCGGCTTTAGCATATAAAATTGCAGTCAGAAGTAGTAGAACATGGCCACGCTGGTTCTCAATGGCTTGGAGACCGTGAGTACGTACACAGCTCGGTGCTTTCACATGTGCTCAGCCCGCGTAATTCGTAGCAACGCTGCTAAATTGGTTTCAACTTGCTAATATCATATAGTACTAGCTACTAAACAAACTGTAGGTTGGAGGGAGTTTCAACTTGCTAATCATGCAGTACTTCTGTGTGGATCAGCGTGTCTGGCCGAGGGAGTTTCAACTTGCTAAATTTCATACAGTTAGTAACAAAGTATTTTTTCTAAAGGAGGATGACCCCCGGCCTCTGCATCTGTGAGATGTATGCAACCATTTTTGTTAACTATTCACAAAGACCTTACAAAGTATTACTTTCTTAAATGACATGTTAAGCAAGTTCATAAGAACATTGAATTTTTTTAGCCATTTTCATAATGCAACAGATTGTGAATGGCAAAAAGGAATCTCTTTCTCCAGATTACTGAGTTGGAAAAAGAAGTTGGCATCGCAAAGCAGAGCAGAGGAGCAGAAGTAACAGAACTGATGAACATGGCTGATTACTAAGAACTGATTTGACTGCTGTGGCTACCGGAAAAATGCCTGGTAAATGGGGATGCAAAAGCAAGAAGCTTAGTTTTCAGGTGAAATTAATGGGAAGCGCTCCTATCCTAATGTATAGCAAATTATGTGTCAGGACTTTCAACTCTTTTAAAGAACATGCAGTGGAGTTTAAAGATTGAAAAAACTGTAACAGGACCAAGTTTCATGTTTACGCAATGATTCTTTGATGCAAAATGCCTTCGTTCCTACGTGCAATGCTTTACACATGCATGACACAGCATTTTTTTGGTCGGATCAACTGCTTTCCTTATGTGTAATGCTTCACGTTCATGTGAACACTAATTCATGTTTAAGAAAAATCAAGAATAAGTACACACAATAGCATATGTATCTTCAATTAATATAGGCTAAAAATAGCCACTACATCATTTTTAAGTGTCAATAAAAAATCTAACTACAGATAATATTACAGTCCTCTTTGATACACGAGGTTCTAGAAACACATGAGTAGGAAAAACGCACGGGTGAAATTTCAGGCCCATTAGAAACTGAGCACAAAATTTTGGGTTGCTTGATCGTTTCACAAAAATCTTTCAAAGAGGTTCAAGTGGATGCAAAATTATCTATGAAACGTAATACACATGAATCCCAAGTAAAAATCATATAGGATTCGATTGTATAAATAAAATGGTCTGTATGGTAGATCAACATTGCACATAAGTCAATCTCTACATGAACGACATAGGAAGGGCATGTGGCGCCCTTCCAGACTTTGCCGAGTAACTTCCTATTCAACACATCATATTTCTCCTAAAACACACATAAGCTTGATAGAACTGATTGTTGCTGAAGCTTACGTGCTACTGTCGGATATAAATCCAATATTTCTTATTTCCTAAAAAAATCAACATTTTTAGAGGCTATATAAAGTTAATATTTTCCAGATCCTCCCGATCTATATATAGTGAATGTCTGAACTTACTGTCTTAGTATGGGATACAAAATCAATTGCTCGTTCATTGCTCCTTGTCTATCTATCTGTTTACTTCCTTTACTTTCTATATGGTTACCGGATAAATAGTTTCGAGAAGACATCATCACACCTTGATATGGTTGGATGTCGGTGGCTGGATCTGTAGAAAGAACAAGAAGGCCCCTGGTGAACAAGGGGCTCGTGGTGAACTGAATCAACCTTCCCATCGTTCGCTTCCTCTTGCGCACTCTCTGAATCAAATGGGTGCCCCTAGAATTAAGCACAGACACGAAAATAATACGAGTAACACAATTTCGCATCGCATGTGCAAGATTTAGGCGAAGAAGGGAGTTACTTGATGCTGAATTTGGGAAGACAAAGGACGAACATTAATTTTACGGGGATGGGTACAAGTATTCGGCTGCTTGTGGAAGGAGGGGCTGCGCCGTTGGTCTTCATCCGCGGGTGCTTGCGAAGGAACAGGGTCCGGCGGCGGCGGCGGCGTTGTAAGCGCATGTACAATGCATAGCCTCAAGGTGATGCCTCGCATGCCATGTAGGATCGGATATGACGTAAAGTAGGTTCGGATAGGGAAGCAGGATCCTCTCCAGGAGGCGGGTGCTTGAAGAGAAAAAGCTGAAAAGGTTAGAGTGAAAAGTAGAGATGCATGTGTACTAGAGTTTTTATTTTTTATTTCTTAATGAGGCCCACTAGTGATATCTTGCATTGGAGACAAAAAATTAATGTAGGTGCTTCAAATTACTTTTTGTCACGGGGCATGTATCCATATGCCACCATTGTACATGCCCTTAATGCAAAACTGGGAAAGGAGACAGGCGGGACGTCGAAGGAAATTTTACCGGATAAATACTTTCAAAAAGGCATCACCGCACAAGTTGCTTAAATAAAGACAAGATAAGGAATAAGAGCACCTCGATATGGTTGAATGTTGGTGGCTGGATCCGCATAAAGAACAAGAAGGCCACGCTGGTGGTGAATTGAATTAACCCCCTTCCCAACGTTCTCTTCCTCTTGAGCGCTCTCTCAAATCAAATGGGTACCTCTAGAATTAAGCACAAAACGAGAATAATGTGAGTAACTCACTTTCGTGCCGCTTGTGCAAGATTGAGGCGAAGAATGGAGCTACTTGACGCTGAATTGAGAGGACGCATACCATACAGCTAATTTGACGGGGCTGATAAGTAGAAGTATTCGGCTGCTTGTGGAAGGAGGGGCTGCGCCGTTGGTCTTCATCCGCGGGTGCTTGAGAAGGCGAGGCGGCGGCGGCGGCGTTGTAACGCAAAACTGGGATAGGCGAGGCGTCATCGAAGGAAAAGGTTTGGTTTCTGGTGCCTGATGTGGGCTGCAGCTTGGGCTTTCCCAGTTTTGCGTTTCGTGGGCCTCCTGATTGACGATGGCTGGACGAACGGCTTTGCAAAACATTTTTTTGGCTGGTTTTTATTTTCAGGAACAAATTAAATATATATATTATTTGCGAAAAACTACTGAGTTTAAATCCTTTTCTTGAAATTTCTAAAAAAATGATGATCTTTTATATGTTTACAAAATTTCTAAAAAGTGTTCACATTTTTCTAAAATTTTCATAAAAAATAAATATTCATAAAGTATTTTTATTTTTTCATGAATATAAAAAAGTTCAATTTTTTTAAAGAATCATAACTTTTACTCCCTCATGTTCCCTAATATAAGACCTTTTAGCTTTTTCTTGATTCATACGTGTCTAGACACATTTTAGCATGCATGTTCACTCATTTTAGCATGTATGTAGTCAACATTTTTGAAACAGATAAAAGGTCTTATATTAGGGAACATAGGGAGTACGATGTTCTTGTTTTTTAAGCGAAACAAAAAAATACCGAAAACACATCCTCGAACATCTCATGGGTCTCTTGAAGGGCAAGAAGCCTTTGTTTTAGCCGTTTAGCTCATCCATAGCTACGACAATAGAGCATGCATTTTCTCCTAGTTGAGAAACGAATTAACAATATACCCCTGGTTAAATAGTTTTGAACGTCTGCACTGCACATATGCCGCCGAACTAAGTTTGGCGCTTCAGACCTCCAGTCATACTTTGCATGCTTAGAGATTATAATTGCACTATGTTATGCGCAGTTCGTTGAGATCCTGGAACCCAAAAATGTCAACCCGAATAAAGAACTTCAGGGGAAGAGGGAGAAAAATAAACTAGAAGCCCAAGAAAGGGCATGTGAATTCTGATGGAGCTGGACTTTTCAATGCACCAAAGAAAGTTTATGTTGCATAGTCATAACAAGATCTGAAGACAAACCGTTATCACATCAAAGTAAATTGCGGAGGACCATTTTTGTAAGTTTTGCTTCCATGCTTCAGTATGCTTTTTTTACGGACAAGCTTCAGTATACTAGAGTTTCAGAGTATCTGGGTGTCAGCCAGAGCTTCCTCCTCAAATGAGACCAAGTTTTGCTCCCATAAACATCGGCTTCATTCCTGTAACACTATGCGTGAAGAAGAAGAAGAAAGGGGACTGGGAACAGAGGAAACAGGGGAATTCAGACTTTGATATTTCCTTCCCCTTAACTGACGAAACAGTCGACAAGCGCCAGTGTTTATACACACCACACGGCTATCCAGGCTCAGCGACACCACATTCCCAACAACGACACGCACACGGCACACGGACAGGCTGTGCCAACACACACAAACGCTCTCACAGCCAAGGGACAATTTGCAAATTTGTAGGGAAATGAAAATTCCTACCGACATCTACATGTCGAGAAAATGGATCGAAGACATATCTGCCCGCACTGACGCACACATGTAGAGAAAAATCTCTAGGGAAAGAGATGACGGTCACAGCATGATCTACTACTACCTCCGTCTCAGTTTACAAGTCTTACGCGTATACCTAGGTTGCCAATTTTATCACCCTAATATAAACTATATAACACAAAAATTATACCTTTTGAAAGTAGAAAGTCTATAGTTTATGTTGGTATATTTTTTGTAATATATGACTTGTATTAGGTT